ACATAATAGCAATAGTAAGACAACAATAATCGTAAGTGAAAGAAATGCAGTGGAGGGCAAGTTGAATATCTTGGCTTTGAAGAGAGAAGCTCCCTGCATTGGAGTGGCTTTGATTAAAAATCCTCATTATGTTCAGAAGTATAATTTTATACTTTTTTTTCTGACAGAGAAAAAACAACAGCCCACCACAGATCTGGCGAAGTTGGGGCATGAAACCACCAGCAGCTATAGGGACAAGTTATACAATGAAACCATCCCCCTGGACCCTGCTAAGTATTTATGCAGGTCACAATAGCTTCCTGGACCTCCCAAAAGAAGGTGTACATAACACTTGGCATTCCTGTGCCTGCAGCTGTTTGGAACACAAGCCCTGGGAAGAGAGGCTGCAGGTAGTCAGCCCCTGCCCTGGAAAGGGTGTCATCTTTGTGAGAGAGGCTGTGGAGTTGCCATGCTGGGGAATGAGCTGGATCCTGGCAGCTGGCCTGACCCTGAGGGATTAGAGACTCCCCCACCTTCCCAGCTCACATGGTGGCACACGCTGCAGCCGGGCCCACGAAGCCCTTTTTTTTTTCCTGCCTACCCTGTTCTCAGTCAAGCACTTATTACTGCAGCAGGAAGCTTGGGCAGGGACCCCTCTGCACACATAATGCAAGAGCCATGAGGTGCTGGGGGACTCAGTGTCCCCTTTGTCCCCTTGTCAAAGCCACTGTTTTCCAGAGCTTCTCCAGCACCTGCCATCTCAGGGTGATCCCTAGATCCTTCTGGGGGAAAACCTCTTTTTTTTTGGAACCACTCCAATATCCTCTCTTCCCTCATTTATGAGTATTTTTTTTCCAGACCCCTTTCTTCATCACATGTCTTTCTTTGACTGAAGCACCGATCCCACTCTTTGGGGTCCATTAGCACATTCTCAAGGACCAGGCTAGAAGGGGTGCACTGCCTGATGGTGTCATGGATGGTGACATGAGCTGCAGGCAAACAGCACACTCCAGCAGTTCCCTGCTTATTTGCTGCATATGCACACTGGTTTCACCTGTTCTTTCCCATTTAGAGCTGGAGCAATCAAATGATTTACATCAAGACTGACTACCCATTTCTAGAATTAGTGGCCTTCTTAATCACTCGTAACTCTTTTGCTTGGGGAGTGTGAAGTTCTCCAGATTTGATCTCTATCCGGGGAAGCAGTGGTTGCTTTGACTGTGCTGAGTTTGAGCAAAAATGACCCAGGGATTTATGATTTTATGAGCCCAAGCCACAGAATCCTTATCCCATTATAAACCAAAAACTCTGTATTTGTGGAAATTAAAGAAAAAAACTAAAACAACAGAGAAACAGGCAGTAGAAATCTGTTAGGACTAAAATGATGAAACAACTTTGAGTGATCCATCGAAAATCAATTGCAACAAGGGCTGAGTTGTTACAGGTAAAAAAATAGTGCTGAGAGAGGCAGTGTTACTGCTTCTGGGGTGCTGCTGCTGCTGCTGCCTGGAGGCCAGCATGCTTGCTGAAGGGACTGCATGGTGAGTGAGTGTGCAAGGCACTGCACAGTTGACTGCTGCCCCATGGGGAAGCCAGGGGCTTGACTGGGACTGCACATGGCCACCTCTTACAGGAGCACACCTGGAGCCTGGCTGCTTGCTGCAGAGCTACATCTTGGAGAGGAAGAGGAGGGGTAGAGGGGCAGGGTCAGAGCAGATCAGAGGAATCTAGCAGCTATTCAAGTTCAAGATGGCAAAATATATCTATTCCTATCTCTGATATTGTTTCAACTTGACTGGCCACTCCAGCTGTACCAGACTATGCTGTCCTGCAGGTAGTGCCCCAGCTGGGAAAATGCTCTTCTCTGCCTTGACACTGTCACAACAAACACCAAAAAAAAGCTGGGCAAGCAGTGAAGCTGTGCCATTCTCTGAGTTTGAAACAGCAAAAGCTATAACTATTTCATTAATTATTTTGGCCAATGAGTTGGAAACAACAGCAGGGAATTCACAATCACTCGCCTGTCATTCTGTCTGTTCACAATACTGTTTGCAAGGATCATGGTCACCATCTCATTTACTTTGTGCAATGCCGTAACATTGGCTGGCCGTGTTTTGGTTTGGTCATTCCTTACTGCACTGCCTTGGCAAGCAGCAGCAGTTAGAGGGGAAGGCACTGCAGCTTTAACTGTTGTTCCTACAAAAGCCATGAGCTTCTCTGGTCTTAACAGCTAAGTGGAGCAAGGTGGAGAGTGAGATCTTCCTGACCAATCCCTCTGTGCAGCTCTGTTCATGATTATAAAAATAAAGGACTCGGGTTAGAAAGTACTTACAGCGTGCATAAGTGTTTTAAAAGCTGTGATTCATCCATGTGTTTATTACAACACAATCTGTAGTCATATATCTGTAGCTGCAGACTAGTTGCAGTCTCTTCCTGGCCATGCATGAAACCAACTTCAGTAATAACTGGGTAACCACTGAAAACAGCAGCCACTCCCCAAGAATTTTGGGCTAGCCTCGAGAAAGCTGCCTTTCCTCAGCTCCTGCTTGCCATGGACCCCATGGGAAGGTGCATAGCAGCTTGTCAACATCAGGATTTAAGAAAAGCATGAAAGAAAGTCACACATTTCAGAACTGTTCAGTGTCACACCTGGTGAACAGCCTCATCCTGGCACTGAGGGCATCCGCACACGAACATGTGCAAGTCTGCTTAACAAGGTGCAAGCATGCTATGTACCTGGGCAGGAATCCCAGGGTCCAGGAGCAGCTGTGCCCAAGCCAGGAGCCTTGAGGCTGACTAAGACAAGAGGCTGGGTGTGGAGATGCTCCGGCACAGCTCCATGCTGCCAGGCAGGAGTCAGCTGCCAGGCAGAGCTAGCCACATCTGTCCCTGCTTGTCTGTGTAGACACACACTGAATAACTGTGGCTGCTTCCCAGAGCAAGTTTCTAGGCTTCATTATATTTTCACTTGTCTTGCAAGGGACAGAGCAAGCATTCTGAAAAATGAAGAGAAAGGGCTACTTGCTTTGCAGGAGATTTATGTTACAGTCTCTCTCAGCCCAAGAAATCCTGTGTGCTGTTCCTCAGAGTTGTCATCCCTAGACAGCTGTAGGCAAGGTGCATACTGTCACTGCCCCCAAGCTCAATCTAGCTGAGACTGGATGCTACTGAAAGACTGTGCTGGTTTGTTCCCAGTGTTGCTCCAGTGACCTGAGCTAGCCTTCACAACCCAGGTGACTTCAGGAGACCCTTGTGTGTATTCAGGAGACCCTTTGCATCACTGTCAGTGCCTGTGAGCATGGCTGCTATACAATCCCTGCCTGTGTCAGTCCCTCACTCACTGTGGAAAAAAAGGACCCACTTGTGCTGAAAAAGCTGCGAGTTCTGTTGGTAGGTTCAGGATGCTGGATGGGGACACCACTGCTAAGGGGGCAGAGGGCACGGATGGCCCCAGGCCAGGGGCTGCACACATGAAGGCAGCAGTGGGTCCAGGATGTGCTGCCCAGCATGCTGAGGCTGTGGTGGGCAGCAAGCACCATATGGAAGGTGCTGCCACACCAGGCTATTGAAGCAAAGGCTGCAAATGAGTTTAGCAGACAGACATTTTGAGGAGGGGGAGGCAGAGTGAGTGGAGGAGAGCAGGAGAAAGGGAGAGCTCAACACCACAGCCAGGAGGGGCCTGCCAGGGCCACACAGGCCTGGTGGACAGTGCTCCATTTCCCCTCACCGCACACCTCTTCCCAGTGCCTTAACTTAAAGATCCCTCAAAGGAAAGAGGGGACCAAGGTGTCGTGGCCCCTTCTTTGTTTTTAATTACTTCCCATTTTAATCTTGATTTGCATGTCGATCTCTCAGAACTGGGCCAGGGACTCTACAAAGCCCTTGTCAGCAACTCCCCCAATAATAAACAGGAAAAGGCTTAAGGGGCAAATCACTTGCATGTTAATGAGACTGTTTGCTGGAGTCAAGAGAGAAAACAGCAAACAAACAAATGGACTGAATTCCAGCGGCAGCTGTTTGCTCCTTAATCTCGGCTTGTCAGAGCTGCCCTTTGATGGGACACAATCTACACAAACGATTGTGCTAAATCTTCTAATCTACGTCCTCATTATTACATCCCTTCTTACGCATGTAAATCAGGGACAAACTCATTTTAATATTTAGATAGATTATGGAAGGGAAGGGGAGGGGATTGGAGGGGAAAGGAGCTGCTGGTGGTGTCTGCTCCTGCCGGTTAGGAGGGGTGTTAATGAGGAGCACAGGGAGGGGAGCTGTCTGCACAGAGCCCGGGGCAGCAGCAGAGGAGAAGCACCTGTTGTCAAGGCAAAATGGGGAGTATAAAGGGTCAAGGATTATGACACTGGGATTCTGGAGAAGACACGGGCATGGGGCAACATTGGCAAAGTGAGGCGACAGGGCCTCACCCTGGCATTCCCCAAGCCCTCTACCCATGCACTCAGCCCTGGCTTTGTCAAGGTGGGATGCAGGAGGAAGGTTTGGTGTTGTACAGGCTTGGTGGTGGCATAGTGAGAGGTGGCAAGGCCCCACTGTGGGGGCACACCCGGGCTATGGCATTGTCCCTGGGTTCCTTGCATTGAGGGCCCCCTTGCAGCACAGCACTGTTGTCTCCTGCCCCTCCTCAACCTGCCCTCACTATTAGTGAGGATCAGACCAACCACCAGGCTGGAGAAGCAGGCTAACACCTCACTGCAGAATTCAAGGATCCAGCCTCACTGCCTCCACATAAATGTCATCAGAGCTGTGGTTATGATCTTTAATAACGCTCAAAATAATTGCTGTTACAACAAATACAACTGGGGGAAAAAAGGATCTCTTGCATTTCCCTGTCTCTGGCATCTCTTAATCCAATTGTCAACCTACAACCTGCCCCTTAACCTTCTTCTTCAACTGCAGTAAACTCATGATACACCAGCTGTATTTCTCTGGGCCCTTCATCTTCCTCTGCTCCAGGAGGGGCTGTTGTATCATAAAATAGGAAAAAAAAATTAAAACAAGCTGGTTAGTTCACAAATTTGCCATTGCCCTCTCACCTGTGAAGGAAAGGTGCAGAAGATAAGCAATAGCTTGGTGCACAAAAGGTGAGTACAGAAGAACAGCAGAGGCAAGCAGGAATATAATCAAAAAGGCCAAGCATAAAATAAGATTGTAAGTAGCAGGATAATCAAAGGGAACAAGAAATCATTCTGTAAATTCATTAGGAGCAAGAGGAAGACTAAGAAAAATATTGGATTTCTGCTCAACAGGGAGTGAAAATTATTGACAGAGGATAATATTAGAGAAACTAATAACAGTGATGAAGAAGTAAAATCTTGGCATCAAATAAGAAAAGTGTATGGGAGAGGTAATGTTATTGAGTTAAATGCATTCAGATTTATTTGGCATAACGAGCTTCATTGATGGTGCTTAGAAATTTGGCTACAGCAGTCTTGGAGTCAGTAGTGGCTGTCTCCCAGAACTTGCAGAGATGTGGTGGAGTACAAGAAAATCACAGACATTGCTCTTACAGAAGTGACGGAAAGGGTGATGGGTAATTATAGACCAGTCAGCTTAATTCCCTTTCCCATTAAAGTTCTGAAATAAATTACCTAGTTATCTCTAAATATCAAAGGCTAAAATGAGACAATCAATTGTTTTCAGTGTGAATTTGTCAAGGATCAGTCCCTTTCAGTCAATCTAATTTCTTGCTGTAGCAAGGCAACAGGTCTTGCAGGTAAAGAAGGAGCAGAAGAGGTTGAGTATCTTTACTTCCATAAGCTGTTTAGGCTCCATTTCAAAAGCTGTTCTTATGAGTAAACTAGGGCAATGTAAAATAGCAGAAACTAATGTTAGATAGGTGAAAAATTAGTTGAAAAACTGTGCTCAGCAAATAACCCTCAGTGGTTTATTATCAAAATAAAGGATGTCTTGAGAATAACTCCATGAAGATCTGGTTCTGCTCACTGGATGAATTAACAACGTGGATGACAAAAGAGGGAAAGGGTACATCAGGAAGACACAGACCTGGAAGGCACTTTAAGTACACTGAAGGACAGACTTAGCATTCAAAATCACCTTGGCAGTTTTGGAAAGTGGTTGAAAAAACGCAGATGCAAATCAGTAAGAAACCATGCAAAGAATCTCAGTGATGCAGAAAGAATCAAATGCATAAACAGGGGTTGGAAAACAACTTGTTATGCAGCAATTCTTCCAAAAAAGCAATAGGGGTTAGAAGGGATTACAGGCACTGTCAAAAATATTATAGTGTTGCAAATAAATCAAACCTCCTACTGTAAAGAATAGATAAGACTACAACTGTCAAGACCTCTGGAAATAACCTTTCCTTGTATTCAGCATTGCTGAGACTTTAGTTGGTGTATTTAGCCCAGTTTTGGAATTGCCTTTCTAAGTGGACTCATTGGAGAGTGCCTAATGGAGGGCAATGAGAATGATCACAGATCTGACACATGTTCTGCAAGGAGAACCTGAAGGAAGTGCTACTGTGTAACTTGAAGAGGAAAGACAGAGAGAGGATAAAAGAATATTTTATCCTCAGGCATGAAAGCTGAAGAAGGGAAAAAGCTTTCCTCTGTGCCCATGACACAGGAAATTGTAGCAGGAAAGGTCTATATTAGACATTAGGAGCAAAATTAAGAAAAATGAGCAAGGGGGAGCAAAACAGACTGCAAGGGAGACACTGGAAGAGATTACTTAGATGCTTGTCCCTCTGTCAAGAATGAGATGGGTATAACTGGTCATGGCACAGGGCAGAAGGATAAAGAGACAGCTTCTCTGGGTTCCCATTAGTCCTATCCTAGTTTTCTAGCAATCCATCTCCTCATTTGACATCCACCATTTAACCTTCAGCAGTGTTTGACATGCAAGTACACAGAGAGAGATGAGGCATAAGGAAGTGATATTGGTTCACTGAACACATCAATGCTCTCCTCACCTAAACTGCACTGTATTCTTACTAACCAAGAATGACGACAGGATGGAGACCTGGGAAATGATGGAAACCCGAGAGCTGACTGAACTCTGGAGATGGACAAAGTCCTGGCCCTTACCATTTGGGTTTGGCTAAAGGAAAAGGGCAGGGATGTGCCACCCAGATCACTGCTGTGTGAGCCCATGATCGATTGACTGAGCATCACTGTGAGAGTTTAAAAGAGTGGTGTGAGCATCTGCTTCGCTGTCACCATCAGATAGCCAACATGACTGCTCTTCCCTGCTTGGAAAACTAAATCAAGGGATGCCTTAAAGACTTAAAATAAACTGTTTATATACCTTAATAGAAATATCTATTTCTGCAGCATTTCCTTGGGGAAATCTAGGGAGGTTGTAAATGTATGAGGTTGGCATGAGTATCTACCACAAGTAATGGAATTTCAAGTAAAGGCTGGAAAATTTTCCTTTACCCTTCCTCTCTATTCCCAGCTATTTTCAGTCTGTATGATTGTCTTTCATCACCTTCTTTCCTTGGCCCCATGCATTCTTAATAACAGAATATAAATATAGGACCATTTAGGCTGGAAAAGACATTTAATATCATTGAGTCCAACCATTTACACAGCACTAAACCATGTCCCTAAAACCTACATCTACCTGTCTTATAAATACCTCCAAGGGTATACTCAACCACTTGCCTAGGCAGCCTATACCAGTGCTTGGCACCTCTTTCTATGAAGAATTTTTTTCTAATATCCAATCTAAGCCTCCTCTGGCACAACTTGGGACCATTTCCCCTTGTCCTGTTCCTTGTTACTTGGGAGAAGAGACTGAACATCACCTGGCTACAACCTTCTTTCAAGTAGCTGTAGAGAAATAGGTTCCCTCTGGAGCCCCCTTTGCCCCAGGCTAAACAACCCCGGTTCCCTCAGGTGCTCCTCACAGGACTTGTGCTCCAGACCCTTCACCAGCTCCATTGCTCTTCTCTGGATATGCTCCAGCACCTCAGTGTCCTTCTTATAGTGAGGGGCCCAGAACTGAATACAAGATCTGAGGTCTGAGGTGTGGCCTCACCAGTGCCAAGAACAGGGGACAATCACTGCCCTGGTCCTGCTGGACACACTATATCTGATACACACCAGAATGCTTGTATCTTACACTTGTATCATACTTGATGCTTCACACACCCTTGTCTGTCTGAGGACCACAAACCTTTTCATTTGAGATCAGGGACAGACCATGAGAGGATAATGGTCCCTGGCCAGATGGGCCTTGGACTTATATCCACTATATCTGGGATTAAAGGTGGACACATTCTCAGGATCTATGTTTGAGTCAATACAAGCAGCTCACCGTTGTATTCTAGACATCGTACTGATTCTCACGTTGCATTGTCTGCCAAGCCAGGATATTAGCTCCAGTCTTCAAAGCTCTCTCAGAGTCAATTATGCCTGAGTCTGCATTTTCATCACAGCCCACCTGCTCCTTTGGGAAAACGCAGTGGCCTAAGTCCATGATGAAGTGAGGGGAAACTGGAGATGAAATGGAGATAAATGTCAATGAGGTTTGGCTACTGAATAAGTTTGCAAAGGAAATACACTACCCCAGACTGGATAAGTTTAGGACATACAGCAGTGCTCCCTTTCTTATGAAGCTTTTCCACCATAACAGAAAAGAAGGCTTAGTATTATAAAATATTATTAAAACAAACAAACAAATGCAATAGTCCCTTCTTAACAGACTATATCACCAATTACCAAACTAATAATAGCAATAGGAAATAGCTTAATAGCAATAAGGAAAACTGCTTTGAAACCCTAAGACATGTAGAAGTCCCCAATATGCTTTAGGGAAGGCAGCATCAGAAAAGACACAGAGCATGCAGAAGATTGCAGGAAAATATGTCAAAGAGTTTGGGATGGGACACGGTACATTCACAGGGATTTTATATGAGCCAAGCAAGCAGGATGCAAGGAGTCAGCAGCATTGCACAGCTCTTGTGTCTGGCAGTGGTGGCTGCCAGCAGTAAGAGGGCAAATATGAGAGTGAAAACATCTAATTTATTAAATGTTCCCCATGACAGGTCTCCCGCAGTCCCACAAGTTAGTCTGGGGAAATGTTTACAGTTTAACATCATCCATTCCCTCTCAAGGCTCACTTTTATCCTGTGCCTAGGTGACCTGTGATCTGCCTTTCACTTAGTGACTAATACTCCTTTTCCTGGTGCTAGCCCAAAATCTTAGTCTTCTGCATCAGATTCTGTACCTTTCTGGTAGCTGAGGGATTCCTATTCCTCTCTCTTCAGTTATCATTTAAGTCAGACACATCTCTGCATGGCTCACAGACCAAAACCACAATTTCCCAGGCATTTTATTTCCTCTTTTCTATGCTCTGTTCCATTTATCAGTATTTCCTTAAAAAAAAAACAAACCAAAACCAAAATTGCAAAACTGCACAGA